AATGGAAGTCGAGTGCGGGGGCGCATCCCTCAGACGGGATTGATTAACGCCAAAAACTTTATCCTTTATTTTTTATATATCTTCAGATGCATTGCTTACGCGATATCTCACAAGATGTATGTATGAGGTCCAACATGGTTAAAGTAGGTATTATAAGACCTAGATGTCACCAAATAATTTTCATCATCAAATGACCTGACCACAATTACTCTATCCGTTGACACAACATTGTAATGTTGATTTGTCTATGTACCTATCAATGATAGCCATGCCGTATAATCTGTGACAATAAATTATATCCGTAAAATGCTCTTCTCCGTTGTCAAAAAACAATTTAAACAGTAGTGACGTGAGCACGGATCTATGAGGTGCCTTTCTGGACAGGTACACTTATAGAAAAAGGCTAGTCAATTTTCACGCAGATATATCTGTTAAAACGCGGACCGGCGCGTTTTTTTGCAAACTAGTCTATTCTTACGCACGTATCTGCATTTTTACGGACATAAATGCGTAAAAACAGACCACACTGCAGTATAACACACCAGTCCGCATAAAATTGGACTAGCTTGCATAGAAATGCACTGATCTTTATCAGGACCGTTAGAGGAATTTTTACAGGACCACTTCCTTCCGTAAAGGTACTGCGAGCGATTAAACTGAGAAAGAAAGGCGGTCCTGTAACGGATTCTTTGCAAACGGTGACGTAGGTCAACCCTTTTCTATGCACACACATCCGTAACGCAGCTTTAATTTTGGCTGCGTTTTTACGGATGCGTAAAAACANGGCACCCAGGTGCCGTCCTTCGCCCCGTGCCGTCCACGGCACCTAGTACATATGAATGGGCCCGTACGCGACTGCTTGATCTTTCTCTGCGTCTCTGACAGTGAAAGGCTAGAGCGCAGAGAAAGGGCGGGGAAGTGCCGATGACGTGCTCGTCACCCCTTTGCGGTGTCATTGAACTTCTCCCCGGATTCCCGGTTACGTGACTCTCCCTGAGTCGCTAACATTGAAAGGTTATCCTGCGTTAAGGAAACGGGTTTGGTGACGGGAATCCCATTGGTCAGGCAAACATAGCAGTTAAAGACTGTAGTGAACGGGAGTGCGACAGATGAGGGAGAAAGATAGCCGCGGCTGCCAAAGGGATCAAAGCATCGAGTTCAAGTAGTCCGTAGGTCCGATCCCCCACGTCTCTTTGCGGCATGCGGCAAAACTTTTTCAGTTGTCACGCGGCCTCAAATTGCTATTGCCGCCTCCTGCCCGCCAATCGATATGGCACCACATTTCCGGCTCCCCTTCTTTTGTAATTGATTTCGACCGTTTTTCGTGTTTCTTTTTTATTTTTGTTTATTATGCTTGACTATTCATACTGACTGTCTGATTATTCGTTCGAACCTCTATTAATATAAACTGAAACGGTGCGTTTAGGTATCGCTCTTATCGATGTATTTGGTATCACCGTTTGCTTCAAGTATCTTTTAGCATAGGTAAGAACATCTGTTTTTCCTTGTAATGCAAAGTTAGGCAACAGTTGGCAGCAACAGCAACAACTCCAACTTTTCAGTGGTCAAATTGAAATTAAGGAGAGTTTCCTCTTGGCCGGTCGTCTCGAATTTCAGTGTGGGTTGAAATGTTGTATCAGGTCTCGTTTGTCGATGTTAGGGTATGACTGTTTTTATGAGAGACCCCTGCCTTCTGGTGCACAATTGCTTGTCGAAAAGTCGGTTCAAGATGTCAGCGCCCAAAAAGTGTATAAGGTGATTGTCCAAAGGAAATATACAAAGGAATACTTGACAGGAGTATAACATTCAGGTTTGCCAAGAGGTTTCAAGTAAAACTGAGCTGGCAGAAAAACGGCCAAGGCAATTATAGCGGAAGTTGGAGATTTCANTTTTTATGAGAGACCCCTGCCTTCTGGTGCACAATTGCTTGTCGAAAAGTCGGTTCAAGATGTCAGCACCCAAAAAGTGTATAAGGTGATTGTCCAAAGGAAACATACAAAGGAATACTTGGCAGGAGTATAACATTCAGCTTTGCCAAGAGGTTTCAAGTAAAACTGAGCTGGCAGAAAAACGGCCAAGGCAATTATAGCGGAAGTTGGAGATTTCATAGATTTCTAGTCGAGCAATGGTGTGGCATACTTGTCAACTCCCATTACTTAAACTCAGTCCCTATTACAGACCCACGCCGCCGCGAAGAAATGCTGCACTATTCCCATCACAGCGGTTACGAATCGAGACATTACGTCTTCAAGAAGAAGAACACTAGTTCGTACCGGCTGGCGTGTAGAATTTTAGCGTGTCGGGGAGGCTGCACGATCCTGAGGACAAGCGCTTCCTCCGGCACTCTTCGGCGGAATGCACGGTTATTTCTTCGCCGAATCGATCCAGGTAGCTTCCTATAAGCAGAGAATTTGAAAGTACTGTTATAGGGATACGATTCAGAGAGCGTGCGATGTGGGGCTTTTCGCGCTGGTCGCGAATGGCGTGCACAGCCTGCAGCCGGATGTGACCAACAAAAGCGGGCAGTTGTAGTGCATGTAGTGCATGGTGTAACCTTTAACGGCGTGACAGTGCCGTTGTTGTTCCTATAACAACGAGGTGGCTAAGCCTCAATATACCTCTTCTTTGTCACTTTTGTCAGACTCGTTTTAAGAAAATAGAGACTACCTATTTCAAAGTGTTCCGCTGTTCATTTTAGGCGATGGAACAGCATCAAAGCTTAGGCATAGCAATGGACTTCGAACGGGCCGCAATCATCGCCGCAAGAAGACTGTTTCCGAGTGGATCGGTTGAAGGATACGCATTCCATCTGGTGCAAGCATGGAATAGGAAGAGGGATGCGCTTGAACTCCGCCTGTTCCTCCGTGAGACGCAGAGGTCTAGGCAGATCCTTGAGTGGGTGAGCACCATCAAGGGGATTGTCTTCCTCCACTTCGACACAGAAACGCGAAGCAGGTAACAGTGGAGATGAAAACAAAACAACGAGAATGATCAGGAGCAAAAGTAAAGGATATGCTGCACTACGCTACTTTCGACTTTTGATCTACTTTTGATAAAATTGAATCACCTTCCAATCTCATCTTCTTTGTGCGCCCTCCCACCACTTCAGCAGAAGCATGGTGAATAGTGAAACTTCTAGAAATGGTCGAATGGTCTCAAAGCTAATGAAATTTTAGATCATTCTCATAAGAATGGGTAAAGTTCTCCGGCGCTGATCAATTCCTATTAATAATGGGCGCCGCGGTTAAGTCGTAATGAAGTTCGAGGGCGCACATATCATCTACAAAGGTTTTTCAAGCGCATGCGCTCATTTTATATCGATATCGAGTCAGGTATTCTCAATTGTATGCTAATTTTCATTTCTTTCATTTGTTAGCTGTAAAACCTTCAAGCTACTCCTCTGGTTCAACGAAAGCAATCTCGATGATAACGTCTGAATGATTATGCAACAAACCTCCAGTAAGAGAAGAAATGGTGACAGTTCCTTTTGCTACGACGTCGCTTGCAATATCAAAACACTACGAATGAACTTCACTTCGCCTGTAAGCCGTAACTTTGTTTGAGCTCAAAACCATTGAATTGTGTAATTGAGCTGCGCTCTTGCATTCTATCTCAACTTCCGTGCCGTCTCCTTCATTGATTCGCAACCCAGTGAAACTATCGGCTCTTCAGAGCGAGCCGGCCAATAGGATGTGCAGGACGTCTTTCATGACCCCATTCTTAATCTCCAATGTAAAAAGAACTAATACAAAAGCCAACTGTGGCGGTAGGATCAACGAAAGATTTTCTAGGAGTAGACGGAAATTCTGCTTCATTCTATTATCATCTACAATGAGGTAAGTTGAATAGAAGGAGCCATTGAGTACTTTATTATATTCCGTTTTGCTTGCTGTATAACTTGTGAATCTTGTTATCTTTTTTTTCGATAGTGACTGTTCTATATCTGCTTCTAAATCTACATATTATTCCTGTTCCTTCCAATATTGTCTGAGTAGTGGGAGAACTTGTGAGATTCGGAAACTCTCACATAAGCAGGAATTGTTGCGATACCATTTCTATTGACATCACTTTGCTCCTGATGTCTATCATTCATGTATACTACGAACATTCCTCTAGTTCGTCTTATTTGAATTGAAAATTTGAATTTGAACTAAAAGGGCCTGATACTGACACAGTGAGGTGAGTTTTTCTTCATCCTGTATTTGAATTGTACTGCTAGTATTTGTTACCATTTCTATTAGCTGTTGACTTAATGTACTCTTGCTTAGATTATTGCATGGTGTGATGTCAAAGAATATTTTGTTGGTGGCAGAACCTCGACGAAATTAGTACAAATTGGGTTGCGTTTTCGGGTGTGCAGCAGTGTCTATTGTAATCGCGTACGCCGACGCATACATTTTTTTGGCAATTTTGAGCGGGTTCCAACACCGAAAAATGAATCATCTGCAATGGAATGCTTGTTTCAACCGAATCATTCGAGTTTCCACCAATCATGGGAACGTCCTTCTTAAGTATCCTAGGCGACGAATTTTTACGAGATGAAAAACTCATCTAGGGTGTTATTCAAGAGGTGATAATTTTCATTCTCTTTCCTTATGAATAACAGTTTTGGAACGTATAAAAATTTCATTCTATGAAGGTCGCGTTTTGCGTTGTTGGAATATGTTGTTCCGATATCAAGTAGACGTTCGTCGTGCTCGACATGGTCTTGAGTTGAAGAGAGGTTGTGCTAAGCGTTGGCCGACGATAAGAAAGCTTTTGGACTATCGTGTGAAACCTGTCTGTTCGATTGAGTTATCTAACTTCATGAGAGTGAGAATGCGCTTTTATCTTTTCGTACTGTCTATGGTGAATGCATCAATGTATTTTTATCGAGAAGCCCCAAAGATATCCCAAAAGAAGTAAGTAATCAATGTTTGAGACAGTGTTTCAATGCGATTTATTTCTTTTGATAGCCTTGGTGAGCACGACACCACAGTCAATAGCTTTCGGTTCGCGTCGTTAATATAACCCTAAAGAACTGGTAGTAGCGGACCACCTGGATAACTAAGAAATTGTAGGTTAAGTTGAGGTGATAGTACATATAAATTGATGAATCGCAAGAATGGTTAGAACATATTACAGTTGTAAGATTATAACAAAAAAGGAAAGTCGATGTTAAATCAGTGATTAATCCATACGAAACGAGAATACTGCAGTTTATCGCTCCAAAAAAAATTAAAACCAATTGGCTCACCTGACTTGACGTGCTGACGGAGTTCAGGTGCAGTGCGGCCCAAATCAAACCATCCCTGAGAGCGATTGTCACATAATATACAACAAACGCGGTAAGGTTATAGCAATAAGGAAAAGAAAAGAAAAAGCAGGGGGTAACGTGGACCAATGGCCACGCTGCGCACAGGCTGGTTTCATAGTTCGCCGGCCGGTGGACTACTCGGCCCGCGGTATCGAACAAGATTCAGTTGTGAGCAAGCGGCAAATGCCGCACCGGCCGGCGCGCGCTCGCTTGCTCGCTAGCGGGTCAGCTGGACTATGAAAGCGGGCACACACATGTTTGCCGCGTGCGCGACGCCGCTTTCTCGGCAAAGCGACCATTTTAATTTACCTGCACCTTACCTCTACTTGATCTATTTATTCGTGATTTTACGTACATGAAAGGAACAATATATAAAAAACTGATAAAGAACGGTCAGTGGTGGTGCAGATAATGGTAACGAGCGAGAATAAACAAGATGTAAGATGGAAACAAGGGAACTAATAAGAAAGAAAAAAGAGGTGACACATTTAAAGGAACAGTGGACTCTGAGTCAGAGTCCTTAAAGGCATGGTTCACGATAATTCGAGGCGCGGGAAAGCCTCGTGCCGTACGATGTCACGTCAGACGAATGTCGAGACAATACAACTATTCGTTCTAAACCCATACACAATCAGCTTATCGCTGAGTAATTAGGCGATGTTTTTTTCCCATTCTTTTTTCCTCTGTTATTCCTTTTGCCACCACCATCTCTTATTTAATTTCCTACTCCTAGAGGCTGTAAAAGAAGAGCTACTTCTGCTGTTACTAAGATTTTTCGTTTACTTATGCTTATAGGTGAACGAGTAGTCTGTTTTTCGCACCAGGACCCACACGCACGCAGTGAGATACATTGTACATATAGCTCGTCAACGCTCCACTCTTCCTCATATTTCTGTTCATTCTTTTTGGCGCTTTTTCGGAGCCTTTTTTCACTTTGAAACCCCTATTCATGCAGTTTCTTCACCTTCATCGCACTGTTTCCGATCTTGTCTTCCATTTTTCATCACAATCTGGATTACCCAAAATTATCGCGGACTGTGCCTTTGAGTGAGCCCGCTAAATGCGAAAATTTGGGCATGTTATTATATTTTCCAAGTGTACAGCGCTCTGAGGCATTGCAAAATTTCTGAGAGATTTTTTGAATTCTAAGGGCGCCCTTGCAAAAAAGTAACTGCGAATACCAGTATTGAATTCGATAGAAGGATTTCCAACTCACCTACTCTGGGGTGGGACGGAAGAGAGATGAACGAGCCCGTACTGTTAATACAGCTTGCCTGTGATGACTACTAATAATATTACTTGCCTGTGATGGTTTTGTACACTCTTATCAGAACGAACGTCTTCCTTTTACAGAGAATGATTCAAGACCTAGCATCTTGTTCCCAACGGGATCCTTTGGAAATCGTTGTGTTTGAATCCCAGTGCGTGAATTCAAACCTTGCTTTGGAATTGTTTTGAACTCCTCAAGAACCGAAGTCAACTTTTCCGAATGAGGAACTGAATCACACTGAAAATAGGGCGGATATACATCTTGAATGCATTAATAGAAATAATAAGATCCTCAGTGTACAAAAAACTAAGGAGCTGAGACGGCCTCTTCTGAGCCTTGTTAGCTATGCTCCTGCAATGGGATTCAAATGACAGTTTGCTATTTATAACGAAATCCAGATCCCTGTTCTCATCTACCTTTTTAGGTTCACACTTCACACCAAACGTAATAGGTGCCACAGACAACCGAGTTACCGAAGTACAACCTGGGGAATACAGAGACGGTTGTTTTTCTAGGGAAAGCGGATGTAGCCTTTGTCATCTCATATGATTGCATATTGTTTGATAAGCTCCTCTAATCCAATTTATTACAATTTTCTTATTGACGATGCATAGCATTATATTGTCCCTGTACCAACACATCATGCAAGTGGAGCTTCAACGAAAAGGCCGTGAATGATTGAAGAATTCAACATGTATTATTCACCCTTTGACGACAATGCAGATTTCGACATGACGCGCACAAGGGATAACACTCCCCTCCTTACGCGCGCGACTGGCACCCACCGGTGAGTGGCACTGACCCAGGAGAAAACTCTTTCACCGGCTTAGTGAATGTGGCAATTGGTAGGAAAAAAGAAAGTGTGGTGGTTCCCAAAACTGGGTGCCAATATCCCATGTGCCAGTCATAGTGGCACCTGCCAGTGAGTGCCATTGTCGTCAAAGGGTTAATGAACACTATCTCAACTATTCGATGAGATATGCAGTAAGTAAAGCGTGCAGTCTCCTCGAATTGGAATTTGCTGGTCACCTTGCACATCATTGCTGTCTTATTTAATTGTCCTGTTGTTGGTTATTTACCCTGTCGCGGTGCACCAAGTTCAAGCGTAATCTCCTGATCTTTTAGACGTTGTTTTATTCACATTCACACACTTCAACGATAATAAAGACGAGGTAATGCACACTGTGTCGAAGTCCTTTCTAAGACTGCTTCAGAACTGAAGGATTAGTAGTCTGCGTAATCAGGCGCTGAGAGGGTTCAACCTTTCAATATCCTATCACGTCATTATGATTTATTTCTAGTTCTCTATCTATTATTTTGAAGTCCGTCATCTTTATTATCAAAAGTCTAAGCTTCAACTTTTTCTACTGATGAGAGTTAAGATCACAGCTCGCCTTAACGACTAAGGACGTACTGGAACAACAAGAAAACAAAAAAATAATTCGCATTTGACTTGAATTCTCTACACGATCTCAAAATGTTGAGTTAATGGAATGCTGAAAACCTGACCAAACATTTGATGAATACTGTACAATGAGATGTGAGCAAATACAGAATGAAAGCGCTAAAATCCATTCTTCGCAGGTCCGTTTTAATCGGAGAAGAACCAGTCCGGTGGTTGTACGAAGAATACACCGCCATCGGTTGCGCAGTATGTGGGACAAACCTGAATACATAGAATAACTGTTCAGATCTTTTTTATAATTCATCNATCGGGGGGGGGGGGGCAAGGCAACGTCCCACTTCAAGATTCTTTACAAGATTGTCGCGAAGCTTCCATATCCCTCGTTTCGTGATAGCGTCTTCGACGAGAACAATTGCTGGGAAACGCGAATGACTTCCCTTACCAACCAAGTAGGGCGGAGGAAAATAGCAATGCTATTTTATTGAGCTTACTGGCGGTAGCACGAAGGGAATGAGGGAGAGAGCACTTGTCTTCATGAGTGGCTGCCAGCGAATTCGCTCAATGCACAAGCCTTCACAATAAATGAGAAGATCACATGCACATGATCAGGGGATCGAATTCCATCAATACCCGATTGAGCGTTGGTCTTCCATACCCTTGGGTCGGTTAGTTGGTACCAGATCCGTCCCACAGGATAAAAGAACTAACTTGTACCTGGTCTGGGTGTCATTGTATAAGCCACATAGGCATTTTAAACGCCACTAAGATTCTGATGGAAGTCATTTACGTGGGCGCATCCCAAAATTGGAATGTTTAATGTCAAGGAGCTTGGAGGTTTGGAGTTTGTAAGCTCTCCGAAGAAGCAAGAAACTACCGTTCGTTGGCCTGTTCAATCAACTCAACCGCAACAACGGATTGAAAGTAGCTAGTTTGGAAAGTCTTAAATACAAAGAACCAGTGGGATCTCGCAGGCAAAACTGATACTGGAAGACCGAATCTTCTTCGCTCCCATAATCGTCGTCAAGAATTCAGAACCTGAAGTGGCAGATCCTGCGGCCTTTTCTTTTTTCACTACTTTGGTCATTTTACTAGCTTTGATTGTATTAGATTGATGCATAATTATTGCGGATTTTATTTTTTCACGGCTTTTTTTCTCTTGATAGAATTTGAATAATGAGTTAGGGTTTTTCAGAAATGATCTGCTTGATTTCCCCTACAAAAATGTACCTAGAAAACCATCCGCATAGTCACGAAATTAGCCACTACTACTTCGAGAAAGGTTGGAAGGTGGCAAAGTCATTCCGTAACGTTTCGGCGATGGAAAAACCAGCCAAAGCCAACCAAGAAATGGGATCTGCCCCTAAATCTGCCATATTCACCAGCAGAAACGTCTATGGATGCTCTCGTCAACCGTTCGCTGGAAAAATGGCTAGGGAATAGAACTTACGTCGATTTGGATGACTTGATGGCCGATGTCAAGGCGTGAATCGCTCCCAAGGGTCAAAACTTCTTCGCTTTTGGAATCCGACTATCTAGCCAATGGGTAGCAGTGCTTGACGTAG